TGTTGACAGTGGTTCTTCCTCTTTTTACTTTCTTTCTTTTCTTTCTTTTTCTGTTTCGTCTTTTTTCTCCCCCTTTTTTCTTTTTTTCCCTTTTTTAGTTTCCTCTCACTCTCGCAAACATTTTTCAAGGCGAGAGGGACGCGGCAGCAACGAAGTTTGGAAGTTCATGTCAGTATAACTCATCCCCTGATGAAGGGAGGACCCCTCCCGAAACTGTTGGGAAATAAATATATTTATCCTTGTTGACAACGCTCCCGTTGTGCCATATCCCATATATATATATATATATATATATATATATATATATATATATATATATATATATATATATATAATATATACTTCGAGAATAGTGCAGTATAAAAAACAAAACAATAAAATATTTATTTAATCCTAACGGTTTCGGCTGGTGGACCAGCCTTCTTCGGAGGATGTAAGTGAAATGGTACAAGTTCCCGTAGCAGAGGGTCACCCTCACAGTTTGAAGACCCTCCAAAACAGTCAAAATAACGAGACAAATGGGTTTTTTTTATTGTTTCGGAGGATTTTTTGGAGGATTTTTTATTGTTTTGGATTTGGAAACTGTTAGGATTAAATAAATATTTTATTGTTTTGTTTCCTATACTGCACTATTCTCGAAGTTTATAACTTTTATTATGGTAGCAGGAAGAAACTCTGATCATCTATTTCATCTTTCATATCTATATATATATATATATATATATATATATATATATATATATATATATATATATATATATATATAATATATATATATATATATATATATATATATATATATATATATATATATATATATATATATATAATATATATATATATATATATATATATATATATATCAAGGGAATAGGCGCAGTAGCTTGTGTGCCTTTTGTAGAGGGTGACTGGCTTTAAACCACGAATCCATTATGGCAACCACATGTTGTGACGCCCGCTTGCACTGGACGCTTGTACCAGGCATTATTACTGCCATGGCCGCTAAATAAAAAACAAGGTTTTTATTCAGCTGCCGTGTTACTGCATTATCTATCTCATATTACATTGTGAAATATGTATACAGGGCGTGTGTGTTTGTAAAGCATGGAAGCTACTTTCACTGCATCTCAAAGCAGAAAGTTTTTCTCCCTGTATTCACGAGCCGCGTGGAAGAACATCCGCTTGTCACGCAAACTACCCAGGTTCGATCCCCATGCACTCGGACCCAAACGGCACTGGTTTGGACGCCACTCTGACCCAGGATTTTTTATCATTTATTTTTTAATCGTTCTCAATTTATCGGTCACGCAAAGATGATAATTTTTCGCTCACATCCAACGACACCGACGCCGGAATTGCTGCTAAACGAGCTCTAAAATATTCCATTTTAGTACAGACGCCACAGAAAGGCCGCCGCAGATGTATGTACACGAAATCGGAGAAAGCACGCATGAACACACCATAATATGTTCGTCGCCGTGTAGTCGGATGGGTTCTCCGGTATGCTACCTGGCGTATTTTTGCATGGTTCCCTAAGAAACTGTGATGAAAATCATCTCGCGTGTGTTCTCCCGCGGTGAAACGACGCGGTAAAACGCGCACAAGCGCATGCAGCAACAGCGGTGGTAGTGTTGGTGCTACTACGTAACTAAGGTTCCTAGATAACAATTGGCGCCGTTCAGTCGAGTTTTCTAGGCCGAGTGCAGCGCCAGAATACATAGCCTAGCGGATAAAAAAAGAAACCTTGAGACGGCATCGGTGAAAATGGAACGCAACTCGGCGGATTACGCCCCGGATGCATTGGGGACGTGAGCACGTGTTTCTTTCCTGCGTGCCCCTAACGGCGAATGTCAGAAACTTTGGGACGGGGCAGTGTGAGCAACGCAGCTCCCTCTGGTCAGTGTGCGGTGCCTATAGGAAGAGAGATAGAGAGATAAATAGAGAGGAAAGGCAGGGAGGTTAACCAAACTTGGCTCGGTTGGCTACCCTACGTGCCTATAGGGACTTTATATGAAACATTGCAGCTGCCCCACCAGGATTTTTTTTGTGCCAAATGTCACCCCCTAACTCTCCCGTTCGCGCCACTGTAGGATAGGATGTTAGTTCTCGAGGCTCGTACTCGGACATGGTTATTTCCTGTGTTTATTCCACGCATGGATTCCATGGTTGTTTATTCCTTCCTCCATGTACAGAGAGAGAATTGCGTCACATGGCCAGCCTTGATAGCATTGACGAGCGATCGCTCTATAGCTATATTACACCATGTACCACACCATGAGACGTGCAGCGACAGGCCGCGTTTGTGCGTCTGTAGGCGCAATGCCTGCTCACGGACTGTGAAGTGTTGCGCGGACACTCGTTTTTATATTATTATTATTATTATTATTATTATTATTATTATTATTATTATTATTATTATTATTATTATTATTATTATTATTATTATTATTATTATATTATTATTATTATTATTATTATTATTATTATTATTAAAATTGTCGAGAACTCGTCTCCTACAGCCTTCCACAAATTCAATTTGTGGAAGGCTGTAGGAGGCTGTTACGGACTTGAGGTGTACGGTAAGTCCGTACCATATCTTCAACTTGAATATGCATCTGTGATCTGGAATGGCATTGCTAAATCTGGCAGTGAAGCCACTGAGCGAGTCCAGAAAAGGTTCATTAGCGTTTGCAATCGTCGTCTCACCAGAAATGACTCTGGATCTCGTTTCAGTGCTGCCAGATTATTATCATTGCCATCACTTCACTGCCGACGAAATCAGGCTGACCTATGCATTATTTGCGCCTCTTCTCGTCTGCCTCTTCCAGTGTGTCGTGTTTAGTTGCGCTCTCACGATGGTTTCTATATGCCAAAGCACCAACTTGCCCAACAGTCAACTCTTTTGAACGTATCGGTTTTTTTTTTTTTACAAACTAGTTCACGAAATGATATCCTGCCTTTACTTATCAGTTGTGTAAATTTTCGGATTCACGTAAGTTAACCAGAGAGAATCGACCATTTCATGTACTGCCAACTTCTTTCAACACTCTATACTGTTTCAGAGAATACAAAGTCTCTGTAATGTTCACTTTCATGATTTTGATGTTTTTCACAGTCCACTGTCATTGTTTTTCCTCAGCTCTGCACTGTCTTAAAATAGTTTTTCACAATGTACAGAGTCTTCCCTTTTCGGTCTTTCAGGAAGGTTTCACCATAGTTGTGGATATTCCCCAGTTATTTTTCCCTTCCTTACCGCGATTCTTCATATTGTCTTTTTATTCTTCCCATTATTATCACTTTGCTGAGACTGATAATGCTTGCATGTCCCGACTTGTTATCCCAGTGATCTTCAATTTGTCCAGTCAGTGCATGAGCTTATTTTTATTTCCGCTGCATGAGTTCCGCAACTGCCACGTTGACCACGACGGTGCCGCAGTGGCCGCGTATGGCACCAGCATTCTCTACATCATTACTGACCGAGTGTATGGGCAGGACAAGGTGTAAGGTGCACTATGTTACGTGGCAACACTGCTATGCTTGCTTGCGAGAGGTAGCAATGGTGCGCGTACGATGTATCTGTGACAGCAGCGGATATTCATCGGTGGGACGACGCAAGTTGAAGACAAAAAGATGTTTCATGTACTACAGTTGTTGCGCGCTGTATACCAGCAATCAGTGCGGTTGGCAGCAGCGTTACGATCGATCGGCGCCTGGGCTGACGAGGGAGCGGCGTTCTGTGTTTTTTGTCCGAGCCGGGAAGTCAGGCTGACATGCAGTCCGACGCCGAAGGTGTTTTAGGAAACGACCACACTGGTTCCCACGGTCGCAGCTTCTTCCTGGGAGAGACAGCGGCGTCGGCCCCGAAAACCTCCTAGTTCGGCGCACCTCTGGAACTCTGGCGCGATATATATAGACGCATTTTTCGGTTGCGTACGCGCCTGTTGCCTTGGAAATTCAGATTTCCCGCGAAGCGCCAGTTTCCATGGCAGCACCGCGGTTTCTGCAGCAGTTGCGTCGTCCAGCCGCTAGGTATCCGCTGCCATCATTGGACATAGGGAGCCTAAAAGTCCCTAGACAAAACAGGCTATCAAGGTACCTTATAATCAGGCTTCCTAACTAGACGAATGTTCACGCATCTTTGTTACTACAGAGAGCTGTAAGAGTACACTGTAGTAATTACTTCATCTGGTTGATCGCGCCTCGCGTATCCTCACCTATATAATAGTATGTACAAGGAGATGCCGCTTAGTGAGCTGTACCGGGGAGAGTGTCAGCGATGTCCAGCTGGTCAGGAGTCTGCCGTGATCACTAAGTGTCCACACAAGCTCACCAGATCGCCTCGGCGTGTAAGCAATCAGGGAGTCAAGTGTAGCACTGCCAATTGCTTCGAAGCTGTTGAAATAAACGTCTGCAACCGTTTCCACGCCGTGTGCCCTGCATTTCAAAGTCAAACCATCTTCACTGACAATATTACGTTGTAACTTTACCATGCGACTTTGTACAAGTAAATATTCGCGTTACATTCAGGTTTACGTTCTTTCATACAGCTATATGCGCACAACTTGTAGGCCCTCCTTATCGTACCCCACCTTCCGCGTTTGTGTCAGACTTTGAACTAAGATATTGTGTTTCTTTAGATAAATTCACTACCCATATATGTTTTAGAAAGAGGCACTGATCACACTAAACAGTATTACCGTTGGAACCACGAATCCATAACTGGCCTAGCGTGTGCTTCCAATCAACGTTGCCTCCCATGTTGGTTGATTACTGTAGTTGTTGCTGCGCATTAGTCCTGTACACGGATCAGTGAGCATTTCGGTGGTTTACGCATTATCAAAAAAATATATAAACATTTCACTATCTGCACCTTTCTTTCCCAATCAGCATTTTCGCCCAATCAGCCACTCTACCGCCAGCAACAGCGCTAGCGCTAGTTTCGCTTTCGGTTGTAATTGGTAGCCAAAGCAGAAATCAAAGTCGGCACATTCCGAAGTCATAGCTGGTTCTCGAATCGGTTGTATCTGTCGGCATCGTTCAAGCATAGCCTCCTGCAGGTTCCAGCACGATGAAGGGATTCCCAAGCAAGGTATAGCCTCAAACTTTTTATGGCTTTGCCCGGAATAGTGGAACTGCGTCAGTAATCGTGTACCGGATGCAATACTAAGGTGTTATACATAGGTATTAATTCGTACAGTTGAAAATCGTGCAAGTGTATTCTGAATGAGTGTCCGGCATCATCATTTTTATTTTTCTGCGTGCTCCACAGCAAATATTTTTGAAGGCCGCTCATTTACTGTGGTACTTTCGCGACAATCGTTCGAATAAAATCATGTATATATTATATTTTACGTCTCAGTGCCGCGCCTGCATTTGTGAAGCGCGTGTGGCAGCTTTCCCGTGCCTTCTTTGTCGCCAGCTGCATTTAATGTTCCGCTGCAACCGACACGATGTGAAGTCGAACTTCCGCTTATTTTTATTTTGCAATTGATGCGTGCCGCTTTTATTCACGCTGTTCAAGGCGGAGTCGTATTTTGTTGGAACGTCCATGTTGTGTAGGACGTGTTTCGCTTTATTTCCATTTTAGATACGGTATCTCCTATTTGTTTTACTTTATCACCTGTTTAAGGGGAAGAGCAGACATGTCGACCAGCAAAAGTTCAGTAAGATGGTTCGCAGAGCATTCTTCTCCCTACACACATAAGTGTCCTAACAAAAAAAATTCGATCAGTATGACGCACTTGCTGAAGAAACGAAATTGCTGCCCATGTGAATATTTTGTTTTCGCTTCTTTGCTTGCAGACCTATTTGATCAACCACATTTAGCTTTTTCTGAATAACATTCTCGAAATGTCATTGGTTTGCGGTACTTTATATTTTTTAATGAAATTGTGCAAATGGGGGTATGCTAATGATTTCATTGTCAGTGTTGTGCTAAAGTGAAACACTTTTGGGCTAAAAGGAATCGGCAGAAGTATCTTGGAACATTTGCCACTGACTGTATACACAATGCGTCTCCAAGAAAACATGTCTTTTGCAGAGCGTTGGGCAATTTGTTGTTTGTTGCTTAGCTCAATGCGCCTTCAATTTCTCTCTTGAAGACTGTATTTTTATTTTTAGATAGTGCTGTGAGATAGTTTGTTTGCCCATGCTGCGCTGTCTCTGTGTTCGCATTCTTGAAAACAGCTATAATTGGGTGATGTGCTGAAAACAATTTAGTTGAATGTCTGTAGACCTATCTGGTCTATTCCAGTGTGTATTCACAACAAATTGTTCGGTAAGCTAAGAGTGTTTTTTATTTGCTGTCTTTGATTCTTTTATAATCTGCTGCTTTAAAGGCCCCAACTTGCTCGTTTCGTCTAGTTGTGCATAATGCTGCTAACTTTCTTGTCTGAGTTTCTTTTCTGTGATGTTGCCACTGATTCGTGAAGTAAAGCCAACCACCTTTTTTATTTTCCAACTTTCTTCCCTCACAGTCTGAAGAGCTCAAAGAGAAGGGCAATCAGTGCCTTAAGGAAGAGAAGTTTGCAGAGGCCATCTTGCACTACACAGAGGCCATCTCAAATGATCAAGAAAACAGCATTCTCTACAGCAATCGCTCAATGGCCTTTCTGAAAATGGACCAGTTTTACTTGGCTTACGAAGACGCCAAAGAAACCATCCGACTCAGCCCAGAATGGGCTAAGGTGGGTCATCGTTAACTTGAAGTGTGCTGTTCTTTCACTTAAACTCGTGCACAGCTAAAATTTATTATATGTTAAGGGTCACTGCACTGTAACAATGTCATTTTATGTGCAGTCCTAAATGTTCCAATGTACGTTAGTTTAAAATTATTGCAAGCTACGGTCACCAGCGATCAGAAAAGCATATAACCTTTTCTTTCTTGTTTCCAACCGTATCACTGTGTAGGGTTATTACCGCAAGGCAGAAGTGGAGTTTAAGGCCGAGCACTACGAAGAAGCGATGGAGTCTTTTCGCGTAAGTATACAAAATAGGAAGCATATATCACTCATCCTCACTGAATCGTGTATGAGCAAGCACACTATGATTGGCCTTTGGTGTGCCTTTACAGCATGGTCATGTTTATTCTTTGCAGTAGAGTCCACATGAATTCACATCGATACATACTCATCAATACTTAAGAGCCACATAGCGTCACTGTTTGTATGTCGCCATAATTTCAACGCCGAGTTTTCTGAGGTCTTGCATTGCCCAGGATATGCCCAGTCACCAATGCTGTATTCCTGTCTTCCTTCAGAAATCATTGCAGTTCGGAGCTGATGAACCCAAGGTATTGGACCAGTTGAGGAAGGCAAAGCGGGAGTTGGAAAAGCAGATCAGAGGTAAGAATGGTCACTGGTCTTGAGTGCGACGCACAAAAACACAGTTTCAGCCTCCTAATTTCTTCTTAACTGTCCCTGACAAATGTTCAGCTACACTGAAATATGATGGAAAGATTCAAAAGCAGGGCTATGAATATAGTACTGTGTACAATTAGTGCGAAATTTCATATTGAATTGGCAGACGTTGCGTTCAGAGTACTGTGAACAAATTTGTTGGTTCATGCTACAGTATCACATTAAGTAACAGTTTTTTCTTCGTCCATTAAAGCTGCAGTGCGAATATGATGCAGGAATTTAAAAGTAGTGCGTTAATCTTATGGATATGCTGTTACGCAATAACCTTAAAATTTGATATTAAACTGGGCACACATTGCATTCAGGTGCTGTGAACAAATTTAGTGGTTCATACTACTAAAAAGTTTTCATTTATCAATTTCTTTACATTTTTTTGGTCGAGCTGCTTTATTTCCACTTGTTATAATAGTATTAATAGCCTGTAAAGTCGCCTTAGCAACAAGGAATGTCACTGGAACTATCATTTTCAGAAGTGCTCTTTGTGAGCTCAGCAAAAACTTTCTTCAGCAGCGTTTGTGTATCTGTATTTTCTCCATCCTCAGTAGTGGAGGAGAAGGAGAATGCTGATGAGTTATGCTTAGAGAAAAAAAAAACTGCTGGATATTTCATTTAGTCATAACTGTAACCAGTGGTGTACCAACTCTTTCGTGAGTTGGGGGGCAAGCCAACCTCACTCGTCAACAGGATATATATATATATATATATATATCTATATATATATATATGGGAAGGAGACTGTATTTCTGTATTTACAGCCGGTTAGGCGAGAAGCGCCAGCCACACAGATTAGCTCGTGCCAGTCTATCTGCTTTCTCTTCTTCAGCTCCATGCACTGGCACGTAGCAATATATATATATATATATATCCCTCTATGCTCGAGTCCACTGATTTATTCATCGCCACCTTGCAAACTGCCAACATCGCTCCAAAATACCATACGCAAGGGGATCAGGTTGATCGGAGACTACGGTAAAACTAAAACATTTAAAAATATTCGTCACAATCATGGTCTGAGAGCAGCCATGATTCTATTGCTTTTCGATGAAAGAGAATGATTTTCCTGAAGCTCTCCGATTTTCTTGAATAATTTTTCAATAATTTAAACTGTTCAAAAAATGTTTTGTTTGTTCCAATCGATAACTGCATCAGCCAGTCACCGCAGAATACAAGCATAAACAATTGATGTAATGATAGAGGGCCCCTGTTCAGTGCTAGCCTGGAATTAAATGCCAGAGCACAAAGCGGGAAAGCGTCGCATAGGTTAACCGCACCACAAAGAATATTCAAGGAAAATCGTCACACCAGACACGCTGGAAAAATCACTATATTGTAACATTCCCTCGGAAAAATTTCACTTCATCGTAACAATGTAACTGAGTGATTACTGTGGTGAACAAAAATATCGTCTTAGTTGTTCGTTTCCTTAACGTGCAGCCAACAATAAGCACTGTCAAAAGAGGGGGGCCTAGCCCCCCCCCCCCCACTTTTCTCAGTGGGGGGGCTAGCACCCCCCTCGTTCGTCCTGGCTGATACGCCTATGACTGTAAGGAAACGTGTGTAGTATATAGTACACTCAAATCTCGATATAACGAACCTGGATATAACAAAATATTAGCTATAATGAAATAAATGAACGATAGTCTTGCAAGAAATTTAGTGCTAGGAATAAACTTTATAACGAATATTTGCATATAACAAACTTATTTTCGTTTAATATACAACTTTGTTATAATGAGGTTTGAGTGTACTACATACGTTATTTCTGGAATGCATTAACAGAAACAAGAAGTGTTTACAGGTGTTGGTCTCAGGAACGGCCAAATGAACTCAGGCAAACTACTGAGTTTTATGTAGATGTATTGTGTCAGGACTACAAAAAGGAGAATGAAAGAACAATACATCAATGCACATCTTTGCTACTAGTTAAGACAGGAAATGGAAAATTGGCAAAATTTTAAAGGCATAATAGCACCTCAATGTGAGCCAGGCCTGCTGAAGATAGATTGTGCTGGGTATGATAATAAATTCATAATGATTTGTGGGGAAAGAGGGGAGATGTGCACAGTTGTATTAATGGCTCTGCTGTAACCAAATGTTCTATTCTTATAACGAATACATTGAAAAGTTCCTTTTGGGTTGAATAGATTGAATAGCATCTATCTGGTGCCATAGCTGCAGTCACCTAGCAGCCATGGCAAACCACTGCTGAGCACGGGGTTGCTAGTTCAGTTTCCGGTGGTGTTGGCTGCATTTTAAATCAAACACAACTACTTGTGCAGCTTGTGTAGGGTGCACAAGTCACATTTCTTGGTTTAGATTGTTCACTACAAGTCCTGGCATCATGTTTTTGCCTGTTCGATAAAAGCCTTTTGCCAACAGCCCGTGAAATGTGTCCATATTGCTGTTGCAGCTAGCCTTCTGAAGGCAAGGTGTGCACATGAATTGCATATCACTGTATTTTTTACTACTTCTGGTTCTTTGTGAAGCAAACTAAAGAGTGTGTCTTTCTTTGTTTAGGCAATACAGATTTTATATAAATATACAATGACAGTAAGGCAACTGTCAGCTTTGCACAGTGAACAGCATATCAAAGTGGCAAATGTTGCTGCTGCTGAAGTTACGTTAAAAAAGTAATTAACAAAAACTTGCAAGTTTTTTTTTTTTCACTTACCGAAGTAGTTTCACTTTACTGTAGAGTTTACTTATGAGATTGATTGATGCCTTATTTCCTTAATCCTAACCATCTTTATTAAAAATGCATATTGTACGAAATAACACCTTATACAGTAGTTGTGTTGCTTATCGGCAGGATTTGAAAGCACATGCAAGCATTAAGAGGAGATGCTACTCGAAGACATTTTTTTTTAATATTCACCCTAGAGCAATAAAACTTAAGCTGTTTATGGAACTTTTTATGCTGATTTCAAATATATAATTAGTTTTCTTACAAGTTACGTTTAGTTCTGCGACATGACAAAGTGAAAACCTTAACCCTTTTGCCCCCCTCTTTTCATCCCTGAACTTCTGTAATTTTTTACCATTCATAGCTCATAATGCTTCAAATAAAGTGTATAGTGCAACTAACTAATTAGGAAGCACATACAAAATATGTAATATGCGTGAAAAAAAATAGACGTAAAAAGTCCATATTTTACCTACCCTAGTAAAGGTATACTTAAAATTTCTTATCATACAATAAAATATTGAAATTTAAACTAGATAATTGCATTTGTCGTACTTTGAAACAAAGTTTGGCGAAATTTCATGAAGATCCGAGCACTAGAAGTGCCCAAAAAGGGAGGGGCACATTGGAAAAATGGCAAAATTTGTGTTTTGAGAAAAACGAGTTTTAAAGTTAAAATTGAGTTTTTATTTATGAAAGATATTAAATCAGATGAAATTCGCACACCAAAAAGAACAATCCTTCTTGTAGTGGCCACTGCGACTAAAATACGCCAGCACCGTGAGTTTGTCCCTCTCGGCTTTTTCGAGTCGACTCCTCACAGACATTTTGCTCACAGACAAGGCCATAAAACGCTTGCCAAACTTCCGCTCCATCTGGCAAAGCCTTGTACCGACTGCAAGCTAGGAAGAAGTTCGACAAGCCTGCGAAATCCAAACTAAGTCCAGTGTCATGCCATTTTGCAGCCATGCTTGTGCCACATACCGTCGTATATAATGGCAATGTCGTCCCTATAAGTTCTCTCACTGCGAGCTCTTTCGACCTCTCAAGATTGGCACTGACGTCATCCATTGCTGCATCACGAACTTTCTGGCTGACGGATGTGAATGACTTTTGATGCATTGGTTTTTGCAAGTCAACAGCTGCCGCAAATCGGACCAGCTGCTCGTAGCCTATTTCTACAGAGCGCGCCGCACAACGGCTTTCACTTACGAGCTATGCTTTTTTCATTCATGAGGGAGATAATTACACGAGAAAAGCATTGTTCAGCTGCGCTGCTTGACAAGACATGGACCCTGCAAATAGGTTCACAGCACTTACAGGCGCGCAGCGGCCAATGACGGTCCCCGATTCGTACCATGTGATAATGCAGTCGCGGCGCTCGAAAAACACGCAGAAGAGTGCTTCTTTTTATTATTTCTTGTGCTGCATCAGCGAGAGAAACTATTGGTATTTGAAGAGTGATGCTCGACTCTTCGACTCGTGCGATCAACAATGGCGAGGGGCGGCGCATTATCGGTGGCAAGGTGCTCGAAGACTGCGCACTTTTCGACCTTTTAACAGGCACCTTGTGCTCTTTAGATGCAATTTTAAAGCATTTCCAATTAAATCTCGGCCTGTATTGCTTTTTTCATAACAGTAGAAGTACTAATCTTATCAGAAGAGGCGAAAATAAAAAATCGGTAATTTTGAAAAAAAAAACTCGCGTTTTTTGACCCGCATCTCCCCTTAAAATTTAATGTAACGTATGTATATTTTTCAACAGTGGACAATCAAATTCCCTGGATGGGAGCTGCAACAGGCTTTGTTCTAGGTGTGCTTCTTGTTGTCTTTGATGTCGGCATCCGAGAACAACCCTTTCTTGTGGTAAGTAATTTGCATTTTTCGTCAGCTACTTAAGCTATTGCATTTACAAAAGCAACATAACTTTATAACATCATAACATCTTCAGCCAGTTATTGAAAATCAGCCAAAGTGTGTTGGCAGGCTAATTGGTTTATTATGCTAAGTTTGACAGCATGACTGAATGCGAACAGGGTAAAACACGCACACATACGTGCAGCGCTCTCTGTGTGTGTGCGTGTGCGCGTGAATGTGTGTTTGTGTGTGTGCATGCACGTGCAACAAAGTAGAGCATGCTCATGCACGAACACACATGCACACACTTTGTTTGTGTTTAGTTGCGCAGTTCGAACTTAGCATAATGAAGATCAGCAAAGTCTGGAAGAACACGTAGGCGGCTAGATAGACATGTAGATTAATAGCTAGGTAGACGTGCTCAATTTACCTTTCACCCCAGAAATGCTTCGTATTTCAAAACAATATCGTAAATGTAACTTCGTTAAGCAAACTGAACTCAAAGTATTGCACTTATACCCGCCCATTCCTCTGTCTCTCCCTTTTCTATACTGCGTAGTTTTGTAGGACACATGATATACCATGATATACACATGCCTCCTATGCACAATATGCTATATAAGCTTCATGTCAGTTCATTCTCTTGTTTCTCCATTCGTTGATAGCCCCCTTAACTTGTTCTGCTTGCTTCTGAAAGTGACTAGATTACCATTCATTATACCAGATAAAGTGTACGCTCACTGCTTGGCTATAGGCTCCTTGGGCCTTCTTTATCTGCCTGTGTAACAACAGACACGATTATCCCATCCATAATATCTGATAACATTTGACCGCATCATGGTGCTAAGGACCTCCCATGAAATGTACTTCTTCACTGTGAAGTTGCCACGGTGGTTCAGTGGTTACAGTGCTCCGCTGCTGACTTGAGTTCAGTACATATATGTTTCGACAGAGGTGATGTACTAGAGGACCACGTACCGCATGATGTCAGTGCACCGTAAAGAATATCACGTAGTCTAAACATCCGGAGCCCTCCACTATGACGTCTTTCACAGTTCGAGTCAATTTGGGACATTAAGTCCCATAAACCATTTACCACTTTCACTATGTTATTGAATGAACTTTCCATTGAATTTCTTCACCTAACTGCACCCAGTTTGTGTAAACACTGCAATACAGAAAGATGAAGTGGCGTGGCATGACAGATGTTCACCGTAGTTATCCTTAAACTGTGCCCTGATGTCATGGGCTACTGACAGCCCCTGCACGACTGATCCTAGAGGTGTTTCTAATCGTGTTCCTATTTTTCTTTTAGAATCCCCTGTGGATGACACTTGTCGTAATGGGGGCATCAATGGTCTGCTACGCTCTTGCCCGCTTTCACAAGTAAGCAGATTACTTGCCAGTGCCTCACATAGAAATCTTTTTGAAGGGCCCTGCAGCAAATGTTAGCCACAGATTTGTACTGCAGGTAAAATTAACATGTTCCTCCTATCATCATGAGCTGAATGCAGAAATAATTATGGAGTTTAACATGTGCAAACTAAGATTATTCTGCCTATAATTGAATATTAATGCAGGAGGCCCAGTGTGGACTTTTGCTACTTCCCATCACAATTCGCATTTCATTCACTGGTAGCACAAGCAGTTGCCCGTAGGGGCTTTGCCACAATAGCTTGTTGCTGCCCTCTCTGACAGATGATTTACCTAGGCTCACCACTGGTAGGGACATCTCCTTATATTTTTACCTCTTCTTTCTTAAGTACTAACAACCATTGAAGAACCACAAACAGTTCTCATTGGCTGCGCTTGTCTTCGGTAGGCATGTTCTCCTAATGCCTTTGCAGCACTCGGTGAAACGCATTCCTCCCTCACTAAATTTCGGGAATCGGCGGGAGGACAAAAGCATGTCGTGTTAGTGTTTTGTCCGCTGAAAGTTGCATGGCTAATGCACTCTGACATACATAGCTTTGTAAATCTTCAAGTTAGGAAGAAAATGGTGACAGACGGCAGCAAAGTGAGAGAGGGCCGATAGAGAAGGCAGTTGTCAGTACTTAAGTAAAAGGAATACATTTAGAGACTACTCCCAGTGATTCTTCAACCATAACCAGGGCTCTGTATTTTTGGATAAATCTAAAAAGTTCAATATACTCTCGTTGGTACGATACTCGCCATTTACCAACAAACTCTAATGCTAAAAGTGAATATGATATTGCACCATTCTTTTACAAAAGGGCATGTTCCAAGTCGTCATTGATGTATCGGCCAGTTTGACCGATATAACTTTACCTCAATTCAGCAGTATCTCATAGACTGCACCCATCGCACATTTAACAAAGTGCTTGTCACACACAGAGCAGAGTCATCAATGTACCCAAAAACCGGAATATATGTCGCCCCCCAACTTTGAATATCTGAAAATGAAATTTTTATGCATTGCAGCGCACCCTTGCTTTGATAAATACCCACACAACCAGCTCTACTGTGGTGACAATTTTTTTTTTTTTTATTTTGACACTAATCTTATGTAGTTAAATGCCAGAAGGCCACCAAGTGCTGTCACTCAGATCATTGGAACTTCAGTCCAACAACGTCTGTTTCCCACTAGTTACATCCCAGAGTGCATCGTTCTCCGTTCCATCCAATGCGTTGCCGATGCAGCATTTGCGGAAAGACCTGTGCACCATTTCTTCCAAGAGAGATTACCAAGCTGACGACACTCGGCCACAAAGGGTCGCGAGCGGTGGACGTTGTAGGCGGTCAGCGGGGGATCTTGGGATTGTTGCCCAGCATCCACTCATTGTAGAGCTCGCGCATGCGATCTTTGAAAGGTTTATTGAGCACTACGTCCAGTGGCTGGAGGATTGATGTAGTACTCGATCGTGGCTGGGATCATGCTCTGGTGTGGCGCTTTTTGTTGAGAACATGTCGAGGCATTGTCAAATGTGGATGATAGCACCGTGCTCCCTCAAGTCCATGCCATTGTTAAGGTCTCGAGAACACTGACGAAGAACGCTCAAGCTAACAACAAAGGTAGAACCGTGAATCTGTGTTTGTGTCGTGCAAAGGCCAAGTGGGCCAGCAGCATGTATTGGCCTAAGGTTCCAAGGCATCGTCACTTTGTTAAGGAGGGCGGCCTGTTTTTCACTTATTATAGAAAAATCCGCACTCATGTCCACTGAAGCACTGACTTTGCGACCGTCGAGCAGCACTGGAATGTCTAATGAAAACTTTGCGGAACCAGCTGGTTTGTTGTCAGAGAAAATCGCCCCGGTGATAAGGAGAGTTACTGGCACAAGGGTGACGAAGGTCTGCTCTGCTGAGCCACATAACCTTCAATTTCAGGGGGCCGCTGACCAAACCTGGGTGGCAGTGAGTTCGCCACAAATCGGGGTGGTCCAAGTTGTCGGTAAAAGCACTGTCGGTACACGTGCCCAGCTTCGCCACTGTGGAATCGGAGGGGATGTCGATCTGGCGCACACCAAACGTCTGATTTCCGCTAGGCCAGACAAGGCGCGTTGTAATATGGGGCTTGTAGTGCCATCATCACCATTATCATTTTTTCCATCACCGCGCCGCGTCTCTCGCGCAGCTGGTGCGAGCTCGAGCTGCGCGAGAATTAGAACGAGCTGACATGCCTGGCGTGGCGGACGCTGGTAGTCGACGTGGCTCCGCTTCAGGCCTGCAATAAAGTGGCGAGATCGGCACGGCCCCATCGGCCGCCTTCGACGTCATCTCACGTCTCTCCCTCCTCGCCGCTACATTGGTGACCCGGAGAACACGCCCTTCGCCGAGCGGCCCGCGGCCATGTTCCCGCAACTCTGCCCGCCAGTGCCACCGTTCCAATCGACCTACCCTAAGGTATGGTTCATGCAGCTCGATGCCGTTCTTGCGGTGAATGGCATCACGGACCAGCTGCTGATGCACGCCATTCTTCTCGACGCCCTTCCGGTAGAGTTGCGCCATCTCTCTGGCACTTCAACCTCCAGCCAGCAGCCTTACGATGACCTCTGCTCGGCGGTGCTTGCCAGACATGGCCTCACATACCGTCCGCTTCCGTTTACCCGCACCAGGCAGGTTTCCCCGGCGTCGCAGAGCAAGGTACGCACGCAAGCGCACGCAGAGCAAGCGACGGCACGTGACACCGTGGCCCTCGCCGTTTCCGCGACCACCAGCTCAGACGTCTCGGCCTCCTCCTCGCCGCAGCTGCTGGTCAGCTCCTCGACGGTGCCCCCTGCCGCTCCGCCACCTGCCACTGGTGCCAGCAATGGCCTGCCGGGTGCCTCGCCACATTCCACTCGCACCTCCCCGGCCAGCAGCCGACCACCCTCGGCGTCCCCGCTCCCCGCCCCTGTGCCTGTCTCTGTTTCGTGGTCTATGACGGGCCCCAGCGCCGTGTCTTCGCGGAGCCAGAGCCTGCCCTCATCGTCGGCGTCGACACCGGCAACCACCAAAGCAACTGCCACCGTCGCCCCTCTGCCCGTGGCGCCGCAGCAGGCACCTGCGTCGAGACCCGGTGTCGCACAGGTGGTTTCGGCCAGCCCCAGTCCTCGCACCTCTGGTGCCCCCCGGCTCATCCAGCCGAAACAGCCACAGATCCGGCCCAAGCTGTCGAGCGGCAGCGCGAACATGACGACGCCTTCGGCAGCGGCGACCACCCGGTCCCAGTCTCCCCGGGCGGCCCAGCACAAGGCCACACCACGGCCCGCGCCTGTACCGGCGCCGCAGCCTGCGACCATGGTGCAGCGCGGGCTCAACACGGAGAGTCCGCTGCTCATCGGGAACCCCGCGGCAGCGCAGCCGGGCATGTTTCTGGCTGGACCTGCGCAGGGCACTTTCCTGCTGAACCAGTACATTCCGGGCCTGGGCCACAGCCCGATTCTGATACAAGGCGCACTGGGGCAGACCCCAAGCTCTCTGGGACAGATACAGGGGGTCCAGCTCGCCCTGCGGCCACCCCATGCCACGGGCCTGACCCTGGGACCTCAGACGGGGCCCAGGCCCCATGGGGAACATCCAGGACCGCCTGGCACCCCAACGCTTGTCATTCCACAGAACCTGGGGCCAAGGCCCAACATCTTTCTGGCACTGCCACGCATGATGTCGCCCCCCTCGTTTGCCATAGTCCCGGGACAGCCACTGACGCTGCAACAGCTGCAGGCCATGCTGCCCACGCAGACCACGCTGGCCCAGCCCACACTGGGTGCGTTCCAGACAGACCAGCACCAATCCCTGGTGCAGATACCGACGTTCACCCAGCCGCAGATACTGGCGCATGCCCACCATCACCACCACCACCACCACCATCATAGGGCCCTGTCGGGACCTCTAATCTCGACAGGCGGCAGTATAGTGTCCTCTGGACCCAGCGCCAACATTGTCACCCACCATCCTGTCATGACCTCGCGACACACGGTCCACTCTCGGCCTGTCCGACCAGGTCACCATGAGACCCGCTTGTCGGCTACCACAGCGACCCGGCACTTCCTCCTGCGTCCTCTGCGCAACTCCCAGAGTCGCCCACCAGAGACCCGCTGCTTACCGATGGCCCATCAACGTTGACAACCTGGATTGGCCAAATGAACACTTTATGGACTGCCGTTCATGTACATAGCATTTGTCGCCCTCTTTCTTTTTTCATATGCGTTCAAATCGCGCAAAGCGCTAGGGGGGGAGCCCTGTAGTGCCATCATCACCATTATCATTTTTTCCATCACCGCGCCGCGTCTCTCGCGCAGCTGGCGCGAGCTCGAGCTGCGCGAGAATTAGAACGAGCTGACATGCCTGGCGTGGCGGACGCTGGTAGCCGACGTGGCTCCGCTTCAGGCCTGCAATAAAGTGGCGAGATCGGCACGGCCCCATCGGCCGCCTTCGACGTCATCTCACGTCTCTCCTTCTCTCGCCGCTACAGGCTACTTGGACCGTCTGCAGCATGGCTGGGGCCATGGTCGTATGCGTAATTGTAGGTGTAACCGGCTGCTGCAAAGCTTGAGGATACTACATGTGGATTAAGTCACTGGGTTGTTGGTAATCCCGCATGAAAGGCGGTTCTCTTAAAGCATGCTGGACTGCATCTCGCAGAATGCCGAACATTGAGAAGATCGTGGGGCTGCAAGGGCGTGGACAGCTTCTGAAGTTCTTCGCGGATCACTGAGTGTATGAGCTCTCGGAAGAAATTCCTTTGGCAACCAAAAGCTCTCGAGTAATTCGTGGTTGAAGCGTTGACGTGCCGTTCGCATAGCGGGGCCCAGTGCCTTAGAGTGCTTTCGACGGCGAAGGCTTTTGTGAGAAATTCTGACACAGTCTTGGGCGGACTGCACGCAAGCCCATTGAAAAGCTGATCTTTCACCCCGCGCATGAAGTACTGCACCTTCTTTTCTTCTGGC